GGAGAGAACAAATGGGATGAGGTTGAAGATGCAGAATAAAAGAAACAACATTTGAGGTAGGTTTTGAGGGAAGATGAATAGACAGCATGAAGCGGGGAGCCCAGCAGAGCCCAGAGCTGGGCATCTGGCTGCAGTCTGGATGAAGAACGAGGTGTTTAGAGGGAAGTTTTTCTAGAAGACTCCTCACCTGCTTCGCACCTGGGCAGGCTCCACATCAAAGTAAGGTCTCAGGATGTCGATGTTGGCGTACAAGCTGAAGGCCCTGGAGGCTTGTCTCTTTCCAGCTTGCCACATCTGAAGTAAGGAAGATGAGGGAGGGTACTGCGAGGCTCTAGACCCCGTGGTCTACTTTCTGTTGGATATATTTTCTTTTCTTTTGATTTTTGTGGTTTTTGCCTAGGGCTCATGTACTTACCAGAGACAGAGCGATAGAAAGAGGGAAAGTGAGAAATCACCCCACAAGAGGGATGGCTATGTGTAATCCTCTTTCCTTCCAAGATCTTGGGCACATACACACACACACACACACATGCATCTGGCGTGAGTCCCAAGCCACTGGGTCCAAGACTCAAACTGTGGTCGGCCATGTGGGAGTCCAGTGATGTAACCGCTACTCCATCTACTGGTGCCCCTATCTTCTGTTAGAGTCCTACACAGTTGTAACTGGATCTGGGGCGATCCCCACTATCACCACTCCAGAACATGGGCCACGCCTGAGTCTAGTCTGTACTTGCTAGGGATTCAACCTTGCTTACCTGATCAGCCACCTGCCGGCTCAGCTGCCCCTTAAAGCCCTTCATGCCCAGGAACTCTCCATCTTCTTCCTCAGCAGCAGCTGCATCAGCATCTACTTCTTCCTCCCGCAGGCGCTGATGCAGTTCACCCATATCCTCAAAGCTGGAGCCAGAGGTGTCATCCATGTTCTCCATGTCAATCACAGCTGAACCCCCACCCTGTGAAGACAATGGCTCCTAGAGTGCAGGACCTTTGCGTTCCATCTGTTAAGTCCTCCTCTGCTCATCCCAGGGCTTGGGGCTTTGTTCTTCCACTGCTGGGAACACGGCTTGAAATCACTATGGGATCACTACCAATCACGCAACTCTCTTCCCCCTCATTTGCTCTCAGAACCCCTGGCCGCTAGCTTTGGCTCTCTTTTCTAGCCTGGGAAACCGGCTACTCGTCTTCCATCTCTATCTTACTCCTATCTTCCCTATGAAACCTCGATGGGGTGCAAAAGTGCCCATTCCCCCCGTCTTTCCCCAAAGCTCCACACAACCTGTGTACACTGTTTCTAGCGAGTGCCAGGGAATCCCGCCCACCCCCACATCAGGCCTGACCCTACCGACCTCCTCGCTGGTCGGAAAAGCAAGAACACCGGGGATTACGGCGGGGAAGCCGCCTCAGCACCAGGGTTGCTGGCAGCGGGTGCTCTGGGGCGATTACCTGGATGTTTTCTTCGAATCCTCCCCATTCCGGGCCAGCCCCGTTTCGGGCGCCGCCAGCCGGCGCCGCCGTGGCTGCCATGTCCCTGGAGGGCTCCCGTCGCGAAGCCCGCGCCACCCCGCGCGCGGAGAAGCAGTGGGCGAGACGTGGGCCTGAAGGAGGGAGACGTCCAGGGTCGAGAAGAAGAGGTGGGATCAGCCGGAACGCAAAAAGCAGGAACCCGGATGTTTGGCCCAAGCTGATTTCCGGAAGCTGGGGACGTGGACAGAGGCGGGTAGAAGTCTCGCGATATTTAAGGTTCCTGGAGGCAGTGCGTTACCACGGAGACAGAGGGAGGCCGGGGAACGCACGCGCTCGCGGGTTAAGGACCCTGGTCTGGTAGTGGCGAGATTGAAGATGGCGGCGGCCCAGGCGGTGGAAGAAATGAGGAGCCGCGTGGTGCTAGGAGAGTTCGGGGTTCGAAATGTGAGCCGGTGGCCTTGAGCTGGGGAGGAGGAATGAAGGCAGAGGGCGGGTCGGGATCGGAGTGGGCGCGCGCTTGCCCCTTCGTGGACAGGCCGCTTCTCTTTGCCCTAGGTTCACACGACCGACTTTCCCGGTAACTATTCTGGTTACGATGATGCGTGGGACCAGGACCGCTTCGAGAAGGTGGGTGCGACCGGAGGTGTCCGGAGAGGGTCCGAGGGCCGGACCGTGGGGTCGGGCAGCCCGGGCCCCAAGCTGCTCCCGGGGGGTCATCCCGCTGTGAAACGATGAACCGTGTGCGAGGAGCGAGGCGCAGGCCAGCTTAGACTCGGGCTCACGGCCCTGTTCTGTGAACCGGCTGTCCAATCTTGCTGGGAAATGCCACTCGTAAACCTGCCCCTGTCCCGTCTAATGTAAAGGCGGGTGATCGCAGTGAGGACGCGGGGAGGGTGGGAGGCATCCCGCGCGGGCACTTAATCTGGACTGGAGAGGGGAGCAGGAGGTGCCATCTGAATTGAGCTGTGAACGAGTAGAAGTTGCGGACAGTGAAGGGCGAGGAGGGTCTAAGAACAGGAGCTCCCCTACGAAGGCGTGGATATTGCCAGGTCAAGTGGGCCGGCATGAGTGGTAGGCACGCTCCAAGGGCATCTTAGGCACTGTAGGTGTTAGGGAACTTTTAAAGAGTTCTTAAAGGCAGGCAAGGCAGAAGTGATGGCGGGAAGAGAACGAATTTAAGGAGTAGGCAGATCTGCTCGCTTGTATGTGGGACCTGTTTGAAGGCGCGAACTGAGACTGATGGTGGAAATAAAGGGGGACGGTCAGTTTGTGACAGCTTTTTTTATTTGTTTTAAAGAATTATTAATTTCGGGACCAGCAGGTGGCGTGGTGATTAAGGTGCTAGACACTCCCACATGCTGACATCGGTTCAAGTCCTGGACCTGGTGGCTTGCTTTCTCACTTTCCCTCTCTCTGTGTGTATGTGTATCTGTGTGTATGTGTGTGTCTCTCTGGTCAAAATGAATGAATGAATGAATAAACAAAGTTAAATAAAATAATTCTTTAAAAAAATATTATTGGGACCAGCAGTTAGCGTAATGGCTATGTCGCTAGACTCCCATGTTGTCGACTGCAGTTCGAATCCTGGACCCGGTGGCTTAAACTCACGCAGGGCGCATGTGCATGCACGCCCAAGATCCTGAGAGAAGAATGGAGGAGAAGGGATTGCGGTGTGACCATCCTCCCTGGGGGGTGATTTCTCGCTTTCTGTCTGTCTCTCTCTGTCTTTCTGGTGAATGCACGTGCCCTATAGCAAAAATCCTCTCCAAAAAAAAAAAAAAAGAATTATTAATTTATTTATTTTACTTTGACCAGAGAGAGAGAGACAGAGGGAAAGAAAGCAAGCAAGCCACCAGGTCCAGGGCTCAACCATGGTTGGAATGTGGGAATGTCCAGCGCCTTAACAGCCATGCCACCTGCTGGTTCCCTGAGAGGGCTTTGATAATGGCTATGTGTGTGAGGAGTGGGAGATAATGAATCTAGAAGGAATCATCAGAGACATCTGGTAAGATAAGTATTGGGTAGTGTCAGTTGAACTAAACACTGGAAGTTTCTGGGTTTTTTTTTTTTTTTTTTTTTTAAGTAGAATAGCTTCTGGGGATGTCATAAGCCATATTGCATAGGGTTTTTTTTTGAGAGATTTTCACTGTAGGGCGCGTGCGCTCGCCAGACAGACAGAGAGAGACATAGAGACAGAAAGAGAGAAATCACCCCCCAGGGGGGATGGTCACGCTGCAATCCCTTCTCCTCCATTCTCCTCTTGGGATCTTGGGCACGCACGCACACGCGCCCGGCGTGAGTTTTTTAAGCCACTGGGTCCGGGACACGAACCGCGGTCGACTACGTGGGAGTCCAGCAACATAGCCATTACGCTAACTGCTGGTTCCCTAGGGTTTTTGATTAATGAAAGAACAGGGAGACTTTTCAGGGAGTCTTTTAGTCAAGAGGCTAAATAATTGGGGGAGAAAATTAAATGAGGGACATCTGGGCAAAGGGAGGTTTTTGGATGAAAGAGGATGTTAATATACTGAGGGAAATCTCCAGGGGGAGGTATAGAGATGTTGATCACACAGTGAGCAGGTCTCACTGTTTTTCCTGTCTCTAGAATTTTCGAGTGGATGTGGTCCACATGGATGAAAACTCATTGGAATTTGACATGGTGGGAATCGATGCAGCCATTGCCAATGCTTTTCGACGGATTCTGCTAGCTGAGGTACTGGCAGGCCTGGTGGCAAGGCTGGAGTCGTGTGGGGTACCATGCTATCATCTCCTCACTTGTACTGGGTCGAGGGAAATGTCATGATTGTTTTTCTATGCAAAAATGCCGTGACTTTTCCGACCACCCAGTGGAATTAGGTATCTTGAGCTGTGCCTCTCCCTTACTTTCCCTGGGATTTGCTAATATTTCTTCTTCTCATTCTTTGTGAACTTTTCATTAAGTATTCTTCTAAGAGGTCTCTTCCTATCTCAGGAGATGGGGGGAGATGGGAAGCCTACTGGGCTTTTGCAGATGGGCAGTTCTGTATCCTTGGGCAGGTGCCAACTATGGCTGTGGAAAAAGTCTTGGTATACAACAACACCTCCATTGTCCAAGATGAGATCCTTGCTCATCGCCTGGGGCTCATTCCCATTCATGCTGACCCCCGTCTTTTTGAATATCGGAACCAAGGTGAGAGTCTGAGAAAATCAAATTGTGGGAGAAGTGGGATAGTGCTTTTGTAAGAATGAAAAGTAGATTCTAGAATCAGATTGCCTGAGTTCAAATCTGGATTGATTACTGTATGACCTTGATCAAGTTATTAATTTTTTGGTACATCATCAGCATTTCCTTTTTCTTTTTTTTTTTGTAGAGGTTTTTGCTGTAAGGAGGCATGTGCTCACTAGAAAGACAGAGAAAGACAGAAAGCGAAAATTGCCCCCCCTCCCGGGGGGGCGGATGGCCACACCACAATCCTTTCTCCTCCATTCTCTTGGGGTCTTGGGCACGCATGCACATGCACCTGGCGTGAGTTTAAGCCACCAGGTCTGGGACTCAAACCATGGTCGACTACATAGGAGTCCAGCAGCATAGCCATTATGTCAACTGCTGGTCCCAAGTACATTAGCATTTTCATTTGTGACATTTGCCCTTGCCTTCCTAAATTTGTCAAGGGGATTCATGAGAAATGTACGTAAAGCATTCAACATAGTGTTGGACATCAAATGTTCACTAGTTTTTTTTAATCCTATGTATATTATTTTAAGAATTAATTTAACTTTAATTATTTTTAAATTCTACTGGAGAGGAACAGAGTGAGAGAGAAAGAGAGGGAAAATGAGAAAGCAAGCAGCCAAGTCTGGGACTCAACCAGTCAGCCATGTGGGAGTCTAGCATCCTTAACGACTGTGTCACCTGGTGGCCCCCCCATTTTTTTCTTAAAGAGAGATTTTTGCTATATGGTGTGTGCAGAGAGAGACAGTGAGAGAGAAAGTGAGAAATCACCCCCCAGGGGGATGGCCATGCTGCAGTCCCTTCTCCCGGGGTTTTGGGCATGCACACATGCACACAGTGTGATTTTCAAGCTCCTGTGTCTGGGACTCAAGCCATGGTTGGCCACATGGGAGTTTGGCAGTGTAACTACTATGCTAGTTGCTGGTTCTAAGAGTTTACTAGTTCTTTAAGAGCTGCCTCTTTCATTTGTGTAGAGGATGAAGAAGGCACAGAGATTGATACTCTGCAGTTCCGGCTACAAGTCAGGTGCACTCGGAATCCCCATGCTGCTAAAGACTCCTCTGACCCCAATGAGCTCTATGTGAACCACAAGGGTGAGTGGTGGTGGTGGTGGTGGTGGGGAAGCGCACCTACCGGTGGGTCCTAATTTTAGGGACTGAGACCTTCCGATTTTTTCCTCCAGTGTACACCAGGCATATGACGTGGGTCCCTCTGGGGAACCAGGCTGACCTCTTCCCAGAGGGCACTATCCGACCAGTGCATGATGACATCCTCATTGCTCAGCTGCGGCCTGGCCAAGAGATTGATCTGCTCATGCATTGTGTCAAGGGCATTGGTGAGGACCCTGTGGGCCTGCCCTGGGCAAGGGGTAGTCCAGTTAGTGAAGCGAGGTGTGACTAAGGGACCCAGCTGCAGTATTCCTGACCTGACAGGCAGAGAGCCAGTAGGGGTGGTTTTGCTGTCACTCGCAGGAGTAAAGGTTTTCCCACAGGCTGATTCCCTCTTCTCTGCAGGCAAAGATCATGCCAAGTTTTCACCAGTCGCAACAGCCAGCTACAGGCTTCTGCCTGACATCACCCTGCTTGAGCCTGTGGAAGGGGAGGCAGCTGAGGAGTTGAGCCGGTGCTTCTCACCTGGTGTTATTGAAGTGCAGGAAGTTCAAGGTATGGCATTTAGTGAGATGCTGTCCAGGTCAGGACCTAAACTGTTGTCTTTGAAGGCAGCAGAGAGAAATGAAAACTAAGACTCTCTAATAGAAAAAAATGTTACCTGGTTTTCCATTAGGCAAAAAAGTAGCCAGAGTTGCCAATCCCCGACTGGATACCTTCAGCAGGGAAGTCTTCCGGAATGAGAAGCTAAAGAAGGTTGTGCGCCTTGCCCGTGTTCGGGATCATTATATTTGTGAGTATGAAGTGGTGAGGGGTGTGCTTTATGGTGTTGCACTTTGTTTCAGAGTCTAGACAGGGCATTTAGAAGTAACCTAAAATAGGAGTTTTTAAAAGGCCTATGCTAACATGTCTCTTCGGTCCCCAGTCTCTGTTGAGTCAACGGGGGTGTTGCCACCAGATGTGCTGGTGAGTGAAGCCATCAAAGTACTGATGGGGAAGTGTCGGCGGTTCTTGGATGAACTAGACGCAGTTCAGATGGACTGAGGTTTACCCCGGGGCTGCTGGGAGCCTGGGCTTGGGAACACATGTGACGAGCTCACATGGGTTCTGACCTACCCTCACGGGACTGCTTTATGAGAGCCCAGTGTGACTGAGTCCTGCGTTTTCTAGGACAACTCCAGCTTTCCTTTCCATCAGTACACTTTGTGAAACGTGCCACAAAGTGAGACTTCTGCCTTTGTAAGGCTTTCGATGTAAATAAATCCATGTCCAAACAGTTTTGTCAGACTGCTTATTGAATTAGGGTCTTACACATGTGGACCTTTGGGACCAGCAGATGGCATAGTGGTTACATCATTGGACTCATGTAGACGACTGGAGTTTGAGTCCCTGACCTGGCAGCTCAAGCTCACGCCAGGTGCGTGTGCTCACGATCCCAAGAGGAGAATGGAGAATAAGGGATTACAGTGTGGCCATCACCCCAGGGGGATTTCTCGTTTTCTGTCTGTCTCTTGTCTTTCTGGCAAGCACATGCACCCTACAGCAAAAACCTCGCTTAAAAAAATAAATAAATAAAAAGTGGACCTTTGCCTCAGAAATGTTTGGTCTGGCATATAGCAAGTATAAACGACGGACTTGGCCAGCCCAGTAGCCTGGTGATTAAGGAAAGCCGAATCCCACGTGGCCAAATGTTGAGTCCCAGCTTCAGGGTCTTGAAAAACACTGGGTGTTCAGACTAGCGGGTGGCATGGTGGTTAAGGCGCTGGACACTCCCACGTGGCCAACCATGGTTCAAGTCCTGGACCTGGTGGCTTGCTTTCTCACTTCCCCTCTCTCTCTCTGGTCAAATTAAAATAAATGGATGAATAAATAAAATTAAATAACTATTAAAAAAAAAAAAAGAAAAACACTGGGTGCGTATGTATATGCCCCAAATTCTGACAAGATGGAGGAATGGAAGAGAGACTGTAGCATGACCATGCCCTACTGGGTGTTTTCTTTCCTGCTGGTGAGTGGATTGGTTAAAAAAAAAAATCCAACTCAGAGGTTACTTTAGGATAGAACCAAATCCTTCCAAAGCTTCCTAGAAAATGCAAATTTAGGTGGTTTCTGGAGGCACAGCTAAACCTTTGAAAAACTTTAGTCAAGGAGGCAGAGTTATTAATGTATGACTTTACCATCTCCCCGATTACAGGGCAGGTACCTGATAGAAGAAAGGGTTGTCTATAGGAGAGGTCCTTACCCCCCTGGCCACTCCCATTGCTTGCGTTGCCCCTGGGCTCCACCTCCTGTTGATCTGCTGCAGTACTGAGTTGTCATGGGAACCTGAACCCTACTGAGTGTTTCATTGTATGTTGTGATGTGGTAGTGGTGGAAATGGGGTATACAGTGGATGTGGTGTGCTTGAGTCGTCTTGGGACCACCCACTTAGCTCCCCCACCCCAGGGTCCGTTGAGGGAGTGTCTTCTATGAGGCCAATGTCTGGTGCCAGGAAGACTGGGAGTGCTGGTCTGTTAACTGTCCAAGTTGTTCCTCCTGGCCCCCACCCTGACCCCAAGAGAAATAGAGATGAACAGGTGTTCTTGACAAGGTCTTGGCTGTTATAAATCTTCCTGCACCCTCCCCACTCCCAATTAGTTAGGATTATAGGCACATCTGATGTGTTCAGGTTGGTCTGGAGCTGCACAGGGTTCTCATGTGGTTTCCAGCCTTCCAGGTGGCTAAGCCTCAAGCTGCTTCTGACAGCTGCAAAACAGCAATTCCATTTGGCCAGCAAGAAAAGACACTGAGCATGGTTGGGGCCGCCCGATCTAGGTGGGTCAGGAACAGAAATCTTTTTCTACCTGACATACCATTTCAGAAAGCTTTTGAGAGACCAGTTATAGCTCTTCCTGTCTAGTACCCTTAGCGAGATAGTCATGGGGAGGTACCTGTAGTATGTCAGTTTTCAAGACTGGTTTCAAGAAGGCAAATGGGCTCATTCTTTATGAAACTGAGGTTTTTTTTTTTTTTTTACTGACATGCAAATGTGCTTTAGAGTTAATGTTTCTACAAAAAGATTCTATAAACAATAGAAAATTCCTAGCATGAAGTCACAGGATGTTAAAAATATTACAACACAATAAATACAACTATACCCTCCATAGCCCCAACCAGACAGAGGAGTAGGCAGCTACCAAGTTTGGAGGGAAACACTCTGAGATCACCTTAACCATCAGCAAGAAACCCAAAGCACCACGCAGAGAGCGAGCAGGGGCACATCTGTGCAGCAGAGACAGCGACGTGAGACTGAGTCCCACTTCCCCCAGCTTTGCCTCTTCCCAACCTTGCCCTGCCTGTGGCCTGCGCCAGCTAAAAGCTGTGGCTTCATTTAGTCCGCTCCGGCTCCCTCACTGAACTGTTAGTGGACTGCAGAGATGACAGGCCTTTGGGCAGAGCACGGGGATAGTCTGGTTTCTGTGTGGATAAAAGCCTGCCTCATGGCCAGTAGCAACCTCAGGGCTAGGTCCCACATCCATGTCCCCTTTGCTTACAGCGCCTTCCGGTGACCTCTAAAATGGATTCACAGTACAGGCTGTGATGGGAAGGCATATTTTCTTTCTTTTCTTTTGGAAATGGCCCTTGAGAAAAGAGACCAGGAACCTGAAAGACTAAGATTTTTGAAGGCACCTGGACTCAGCTAGTCCTAGGAGATCAGTGGCTTTGCTAGCTGCTTGTCACAGATGTGGCCTAGTCTGTTTGGATATCCTTGGATTACAATGGCATCATGTGACACTAGATAGGGTACTGTGGCTCTTGTGCCTGAGTGGACCCTGAAGCTGGGGAAACCAGACTGAGGGGTCTCTCATGGAAGGGCAAGATGTCTGGTAGGCTCTAAGGGGATGTCAGAGAGCACTAAAGCCTGCCTAGCCCTGGTTCCTGGAGGTACGCTAGAAACTGTGCCAGGGCTTAGGAGGAGCCTGTACCATGGATCCCATCAGGTGGCCAGAGTCTTGCTCAAAACAAAGATGGGGGAACTGGCCGAATTCAGTTGAGCACCCAGCACCTATCCCAGACATGCCCCTGGCGGGCGGGAAGGTGCCCTGCCAGCCCAGCAGCAAGGGGGCTCAGTGGGACTCCGTGTCCAAGAGAAAATTCTCTGGCACAGCAGTCGAGGGCTGAGCCCTTGCCACCGCCCGGCTAGTCGCGGTGGGCACGGCAGCCCTAGTTACCGTTCTGCACAGGTGTGTGGCTGTATGGGGTGGGAGGGCTTAGGGAGACGGGCCCTTCTGCTCTAGCTTTTCTTGGAAAAGCCCAGACTCCAAGTAGAATGGCGACTACCTGGGATATCTAACAGAAAGGTGTAGGCCCTACCTCCCTTTTTTGATACTTTAGTAAAGGGCCCATTCTCTCCAGCTCCAGACCTGGATCTCATTCCAGGCCGACAACGGTGGAAAGTGAAGTGGCAGTGTGAGAGGGGCCTAGATAGTAACTACGAAGGGGAAGAAGAGATGACAATAAAGGCCGAGGAAGGATGCCCAAAAGCTTGATTCAGGGTTCAAAGATGGTGGCTAAGCCGCCCCCCTCGTTGTCCAGCACCTCTGTCTCCAGCATTGGCTTGGGTTTTTTGAAAAGTGACGGAAGATTCTTAATGTGAACTTCTTTTCGGAACTGCTCTCCCAAGGGTTTCTGTGGAAAAACAAAGAAGAATGCCAGGCCCTGAGGAGTGGATGAGAGATCATCCCACCATAATGGTAGCTGGGTTCTGCTTTGCCTGCACACGTGGTCTAAGACCAGCAGGTGGTGTGGTTGAGGTGCTGGACTCCCACATGGCCGACTATGATCCAAGTCCCAGACTTGGTGAATTGCTTTCTCACTCCCCCACCAATCATCCTGTGTCTCTGGTCAAATTAAGAAATAATAAAAAATAAAATTAAATAATAATTTTTAAAATAAGAAGACGACCATAAGTAACCCTGTGGGAGGGGGAGCACTAAGGAAGGTGCATGACCTACCCCGATGCAGCCAGCAATGAGGCGTTTGAATTGGTCCTTCCGGCGTTTGTCAGCCACTTTTTGCAGGGAGGGGTTCAAAAGCTTGCAGTCAAACTGGTCCAAGGAGTCCTTCTGTATCTCAGGGATCTGCTCCATCACCGCTCTTATCTCCAGGTACCTGGGGCGCTGACAGTGGCAACAAACTCATCTGATGCAAGTTGGGCACAGCCACCACCCCCATGCCCGCCACATCCACTTCTCCAGAGCAACACTGCACTATGGGAGTGGTCCACCTTCAGGATAAGGCCCTAGGGACTAGGGACGTGTGAAGGCGCAGCCACTCTGCCCCATGCTCTCCACTCACCAGCGCCTCGTATATCTGGAAGGCCAGGTGGACGAGGGAAGCCATGCACCCGTCGTGCTGCCCATGTGTCTGTAAGCCTTTCAGCACACTGGTGAACAGCCACGTGACAGCATCTGCAAGCAGTGTCCCTGACAGCACCTGCGGAGACAGCTGTGTTCAGGGCCACAGGGCCTCTCTGAAAGCACCAGCACCCCAGTTTTCCCCGCTGATTCATTTAATCTGCATGACCCAAACCTTCCATGAAAGGCAGGAAGAGGGCTGAATAACCATACTTGTTTGAGGAGAGGCCAGCAGAGCTGTGTGGTCGTCCTCTGGCAAGACAGAGTATCCTTCCAGGCCAGGGAATTGAAGGCTGTAATTAATAGCGCTGTACAAACATCCTGAACAGGAAAGGATAAAGGATTACAGTAATAATTACGTACAAAATTTGTTACTATTATAATTAATAATTAAGTACAAAAATGAGTGTTTCCATTTTGACGATTCTTTAAAAAAAAAAGAATTATGTTAATTAACTTTATTTATTTATTTAAATTTACCAGAGTGAGAGAGCAAGAGAGGGAAAGTGAGAAAGCAAGCTGCCAGGTCCAAGACTTGAACTGTGGTCGGCCATGTGGGATTCAGCGCCCTTAACCACCATGCCACCTGCTGTAGGCCCTTTATTTGACTACTCTTCATGCATCAAAAGAACTGGAGTTTGAATAGGTAAGCAGGAAACTGATAAAAAGCTACTGAAGAGAAGTGAGCTTACTTTTTTTTTGACGTATGAGGCAGTCAAGAAGGAAAAGCAGTGAGTTTAAGAGAAAACCTACATGTAGGACCGAGACAAAGCTCAGGCCTGGACAAGGCTACACACCAGCAATGTACATCAACATGCCTAAGTGTTTTTCTGAGAGCCTCTGCTCATGCACGCCAACATGGAAGACACCCCAGCCTTGCA